ATATAATCTTTGGCTAAAAATTATTGTGCATTAAGCTTTTCTACATTTAGGATAATTTCTTTAGCTAGATTCCAGTAATAGAATTACTGGGTCAAAGTTTATAAAATTTTTTTCCAAATTCTTGATGCATATTTATTGCCAAATTGGTTTTGAAAGCATAATACCAGTTTATTGTCCTCAGCATTATTTGAGTGTCCATTTCCTCACATATTATGTGTTTAAGTGAGAATTTAAATCCTATTATTTCTTTAATATATATTTCTTTGATTCACAATGATATTTAACTTCTCCATGTTTTATTTTATTTTATAATTTATTTTAATGTTTATTTTTGAGAGACAGAGAGACAGAGACAGAGTGTGACTGGGGGAGGGGCAGAGAGAGAGGAAGACACAGAATCTGAAGCAGGCTCCAGGCTCTGAGCTATCAGCACAGAGCCTGAGGCGGAATTCAAACTAATGAACTGTGAGATCATGACCTGAGTTGAAGTCAGACTCTGAACGGACTAAGCCCCCCAGGTGCCCTGACAGTCTCCATGTTTTAAAATTAGTCATGATATTTGTTATTGTCCCTGCCCATTTATCTATGTGTTGGGCATTTTTTTCATATTAGTTATTTCTATATTTTCTATATATCAAAAGTACCTAAATGCCCCTGCCCCGGAAAAAAAAAAATCACTACCCAAATTAAGTCAAACAACAAACTGGGGAAAAATGTTTGCAGAAAGTATTAGCAGAGGTTTAATATTTTTATATAGCTAAATATCTTAGATTTTTGTGTAGTGTGAGTGGCATAAAGTTTAAACTTTTGTTGGAGACATAAAACTACCATTATGATTCTTAATTAGAGGACCATGCTATAAGAAATGTTGCCCTCGGGCCTTCTGAAGGACGTATGGGCGTGTTTGTTCCCACTCTAAGTAGGCCATAGGTCTTAATGCTTTCTTTAGGTTTTCTCTCCCCATCTGTACTAATAAGACTTCATTTGTTACTTCTTATTGTTATTAATGTTTCTACCAGTAGCTGTAACTCACGTTTCCTTCTATTCTTTTTCTATACACAGTATGTATACATATACGTATGTATATGTGTATATAAAATATTATTGGATGATTCTTAATTTTTTATGTATTTGGATCACACTATAAACCACTAGGTTAAATAGCCACTCTAAATCATCAAAAATTACAAATTTTTCAAGGACTCCCAAAAAGGAAAATGAAGTTAATTTGAGAGTATACATGGTTTAAATATTTGCATATTCAATATTTACTTTTAAATTTTTACTGTTCAGTAGAAATTGAATCAAAATGTTGTCTTATGTTTGGTAATATCATGCCAGCAGGCAAGGGACCATGCCATGATTTACCTGCATGGATGGGTAAGTGTTACTCTCCAGCCTTGGAATCATCTGTGTTCAAATGTTATCTTTAACTGCAGGGCTTTCCCCCAGAACCTTCCGGAGTTTCTTATTTCTAGTGGCCCTGATGCCTCTACTATGAGAGCTAATTGGAAATACACAGTACCTTTATCTGAAGCTAGAGCAAATGATTCTGCTCTTGCTGTGGCTCCTAGTGGTTCCTCAGGGGTAGGCAGGGGGATAGAAAGAACTGGCAAATGTGGGAGAGATTGTGACATTAAGGTCCATTACATCACTTGGTAATATATTACTGGATGTGAGAGAATTATGTGAAATTTTAACAGTCATGGGAAAATATTCTTCCCATTTTACAAATGAGGAATTGAAGACTCACATTCTATTTCACTCAAGGTGAGCATGGGTACTATAAACAGATAGAGAAGATGAATTAACTTTGGATGTGATCAATTTAAAGAGAAGTATCATGTTAGGAACTTCAAACAGTAATTTAGAGCAGCAGGTTTGGAGTGTAGTAGAGAGGATAGGGCTAAAGAGATAGGTTTGGGAAGTCTTTTGCCCTGAGGCGATAGTTAAAAATATTGGAGATTTGCTGGTGATGTATTATGGAGTGGTCATCGTAGCAGAGCCACTCTTTCTGGAGTATAGATCTTGACTGCCTGGCAGCATTAATTTTGTTCAAGGGAGGTTATAGAACTTGGACATATGAGCTAACATTATGGATAGGTTTTTTTTCTGCCCTATCCCACTGTATCACTCTGTTGTTGGTGATGTGCTTGTACTTCACACATTCCAAAGGTAGGAGGACAAGCATACCACGTAGAAGATGCTTCGGAATTTTTAGTTATGTAGTTTGAGACACCTTTTCTCCATTGATTCTGTGACTCTTCCAATAGTTGTTTCTTTTGCTTGTTTGTTTGTTTTTGAAAGTGAGAGAGGAGAGGGGGAGTGGGAGGGGCAGAGAGAGAGAGAGAGAGAGAGAGAGAGAGAGAATCCCAAGCAGGCTCCATGCTCAGTGCAGAACCACATGAAAGAGGCTTGATCTCAAGACCTCAAGAAATCAAGGGTCAGATGCTTAACCAACTGAGCTACCCAGGCTCTCCAGCCAATACATTTTTTATAATCACTGTCTTAGATACATAGAGAAAGAGTAGAGATTGTTGCTTTTAATTCCACTTGTAAAGAGATATCCATTTTATTACATAATTGAGAAAAACATAGTAGAAATATATTAGCTCCTTTAATATTACAAAGAACAGATTATGAGGAAGTGATTTGCTTAACTTGGAATGAATGGTGTTCATTGCAAGGACGCAGCAACACTTGTGCTGTTCTGGGGTCCATTCCCCTTCCTCCAAGGCCCACCTGCTGTCTCTGCTTCATGCTCTGCCTCTTGCTTCCTACTTTTCCAAGCTTGGTGGAACATCCTTATTGTTCAGCCTTTTCTTGTTTAGTGGGTAACACTGGTTTGGTGCCAGGCCCAAGATTTGACCAACTGTAAGGAATTGCTTTGGGGCCAGGTTTCTTCTCAAGCAGTAGGGTGACACTGTCACTAGCAAGCAATTTTGAGGCTTCATAGTCTCTCCAGGAAAAATTCACAATTCTTTTTTGAGGTGAGATTTGCCACTGTGGTCAGAGAATCATGTGATAGGTTTGGGAGTAGTTAGTGGAAGGACAGGTTGTGTGGGATACGTGTATTTAAAGAACATGTAGTAAGAATCACTAGTAGGTGGGCGCATGGGTGGCTCAGTCGGTTAAGCGTCTGACTCGGCTCAGGTCATGATCTCGCGGTTTGTGGGTTCGAGCCCTGTGTCGGGCTCTGTGCTGACAGTTCAGAGCCTGAAGCCTGTTTCAGATTCTGTGTCTCCCTCTCTCTCTGCTCCTCCCCTACTCACGCTCCATCTATGTCTCTCAATAATAAATACATATTAAAAAAAAAAGAATCACTAGTAGGGATTGTTTGCAACTATAGGAATATTATTATTCCCATATTCATTATGTACTTTGGGGATGAGCCATGTTTCCACAGGAGATAAGGCAATCAAAAGGAAGATATCATGTTCCTCATGTGTGTTAGGGTAGAAAAAGTGTTGAGAAACACGATCTAAGAAGTGTCATTCAACTTGAAGAGGTTAGGAGATGTTTCTAATAACATACTTTTTATCTAAGTGTAATTTTAACAGATGTCTACTCTCTTGTGGTACTTGGTAACCACGGAGTAATTCTCATTTTGAGTGTTTGGCAATTCTGGAATGGGGAAAGAATTGAATGGACAGAGCAATTGAATTTCTACTAGCTTTCTCTTTTCATGACACGCATGATATTTTTCATGAAAATGAAGAAAATATTCATTTTTGCAAATGCTATCAGTCTTTAACAATCAGAAATTCACTTGGCAAGAGAAATGGTGTAGCTCTACAGAATTGTGGTTATTATTACATTGTTTTGTTTACTGTAAACCTGGCTTAATATTGGTAAATATAGTGTAGCAGAAACTGAAGTGTTGTGAGCTATCTGGGCATCAGTCCAAGATATCATTAAAAATACTGCCTCAGACTAATTTGAGTTTATGAATAATATTTTGTTAACAGCTCAACTGAAATTGAGCCACATGGTGTAGCTTAAAATTCTGAATCCACAAGATAATGAGAATAGTACAAGTGTATAGTGCATACTTAATAGTCTATATTTAAATGATAAATTTATATGTAATTTTGTGTTAACCTGTAAACTATAAGCATCCAAATGCTTAATATGATTTGCTGTTTTTAAAGTTTGCTTAATGTTGTGGTTTGCTGATAATTTGAATTCTTACAAACTAATGTACTATGTTGTTGGTTTAATAATCATACCTAAAGACTAAGGACAGGTTGCCTGAACAAATATTAAAATGGACTTTGAGTATCCATATTAGCATAGAGATGTGCAAATAGCTGGAGTTTATGTTAATATTCACCAAGAAGATTGAAGGATATAAAGTTGTTGGAAAGGTCCAATTACTTAATTCATTTATTTTAATAATGAAAGATAATAATTATAACAATAGGTTATGGAGATTATTAATGTTGAGTTAGAAATTATCAATTATATTAGGCATGACAAAGGGAACGAGGTTATGATAAGTGACATGATCAAAGACAAAATCCCCTTTTAGATGTTTCTTGTCAAGAAAAGCTATATTTGCTTTTTTTCTTTGTGTGCTATTTTAATTAGTTTAAGTTCTTTCTGAACAGACATGTATAAACTCCCATTAAATAGCAATGGGAAGAGTTGTTTTTCTGTCACTGTTAGTGTGTAAGATATTTTTGTAATGAAAAGGTATGTGCATTAAAGAGTGAATTTTAAATATACATCTTCTTGGGGCGCCTGGGTGGCTCAGTCGGTTAAGCTGCCGACTTTGGCCCAGGTCATGATCTCGCGGTCCGTGAGTTTGAGCCCCGCGTCGGGCTCTGTGCTGACAGCTCAGAGCCTGGAGCCTGTTTCAGATTCTGTGTCTCCCTCTCTCTGACCCTCCCCCGTTCATGCTTTGTCTCTCTCTGTCTCAAAAATAAATAAACGCTAAAAAAAAAAAAAAAAATTTAAAAATATACATCTTCTCAATACATACTTTATTTATTTTCCAGGTTAGCACTCTACGTATATGAATATCTGCTCCATGTAGGAGCTCAGAAATCGGCCCAAACATTTTTATCAGAGGTATGTTTTCTTTATTTTTTATATTTTATTTTAATATCTTATAGAAGTGGATGCAAATATTCTGTAACAATTATTTGGAAAAACTGTCATTACATACTATACAGAGAATGCTCAGTTATCAGTATGCCTCATACTCTTTGTAGATTATTTGTAAGCATTTTTAGTACTGCATTTTCATGCCAATAAGCTTCTACTCAACTTTTTAGCCATTTATCCCCCTGTAGAAATAGAAACTAATATTAGCCTTGGCAACAGTAATCAAGAAAGCAAATTTGCTTTAAAAAAAAAAAAAAAGACAAATATCACCATATCTCTAGTTTTAGCAGTGTCTTATTTTGGCATTATTCATAATTTTGGAAAATATGAGTTTTGTTTGTTTTTATTTTGTATGGATAATAGTGGATTTATGACTAAATTTAGTTAGAAAACATTTTGATAATCTTATTTCAGGTTTTTGTTTCTTTGTGTATTTTTCTCTTCACATTTTTCAGTTTAAATTTCAGCTTTCTTACAATGGTACTTTTTCTTCTTCAATTTATATAATGATGAGGATGAGGAGGATTTTACTGACTTCTGTTCCATGTCAGGCACATAATATGCCAAGGTACTTTACATATATTATCTTGAATTCTTTTAAGAAATTTGTTAGGCAGATGGTATTATTCCTGTTTACTGATAAGAACAGCAGGGCTCAGAGAATTTATATAACTGGCTCATAGTCATGTAGCTGAGTGAATTGCAGAATTGGAATTCAAACTTAGATCTTCATTTATTCCAAAGCTTCTGGTGTTCCCCCCATATTGGTTCTGTCCAGTTTGCTATTCATTAGCTTTATGTGGCTTTTTCAACACATGAAATACGACTAATCCTGTAAACACTGGATTTTGAAGATTTAGTGTGAACAGAAGAATATAAAATATCAGTCATTTAAAGTTTTTGATCGCACATTGAAATGATAGTATTGTAGATATATTGGGTAGAATAAATTACTAAAATTAATTTTACCATTTTCTTCTTTTTTAATGTGGTCACTAGAGAATTTAAAGGTACATATGCAGCACTTATCTGTGGCCTATGTTTGTATTTTTATGGGACAAGTCCTAGTCAAAATAATATTTCTAGTGATCTCGTTAGTTTGACCTCCACCAGATCAGGGACACGACAGGCTATTCCTTGACCAAAGTGCCTTGCTAGAGTACAACCTTCTTGAGAATCACTTATTCCTAAAACAAATACACAAGTAAACACATATAACCTCCAATCTTGTATCTAATTAATTAGTATATGTGAACTATTAGGGCCTATTTGCAAATAAGGAATTTGAGAGGTATGTCCAGAACATATAAGAAGTCAATTATTTTAACGTAGAATGAATATATAGAGTGTAATAAAATTGGATTTTAAAGTTTATTCAAATCAAAACAGAAGTTTAGTGTATTTATATCTTCTTAAATCATTAATTAGAAGACTTTGTGTATGACCTTTCTTGCCACCTTGACTGCTGGTTTTTTCAGAGGCAGTGACTGAGATTGTAAAAAGGATGCTCCTAATATTTGTATGCTTAATCACTGCCAACTTCCAGTATGTTTAAAAGAAACTAAAGACAGCCATGCAGATTTAAAATTATTATTTTAGGGGCGCCTGAGTGGCTCAGTTGGTTAAGTGTCCAACTTTGGCTCAGGTCATGATCTGAAGGTTTGTGAGTTCGAGCCCTGCCTCATGCTCTCTGCTATCAGCACAGAGCCTGCTTGGGATCCTCTCTCTTCCTCTCTTTTTCTGTCCCTCCCCCACTCACATGTGTGTGCTCTTTCCCTCAAAAATAAACATTAAAAATTATTTATTTATGAAAAAATAATTTTTAATAATTTATTTTTGAGAGAGACAAAGAAAGAGTGAGAGAGGGGCAAAGAGAAAGGGAGACACAGAATCTGAAGCAGGCTCTAGGCTCTGGGCTGTCAACACAGAGCCTGACACCCAGGCAGCCCCCAGAAAAATTTTTTTAAATAAAATTTTTATTTTAATGCAGTTGAAAACATGATGAAACTTTAATGAAGAGATTTACTGATCTCTTTCCTTAGGTCAGGGAACATTTGGAATTGACTCATCTTGCTGAATCCTCAGGGGTTCCCATGACTATATTTTCTTACCAACTTTATAATATGTCAGATGCAGTGATTATTAAACTTCATCAAAAAAGAAAAAATGTTGTTAATTTATTTAAGGAAGTTCAGCTGTTTTGACTCAAATGGATCATGTGGATTGAGCATAACTAGGTTGAGATAACTAGATAATGTACTGATACACCTTGAGCTCAATGGAAAATGGATATATAAATTTTCTAGGGCTATTTGGTAAAAATAAAATTACAATTTCAGAAGACATTCACACTTTTCTGACAAGTATTTACCAAGATTTTATTTTCTCTGGCTTCATTTGGAATACAAAACTGAAGTTTCTCTGAATTATCAGTCTGGTTCAGTTTCACAAGAGGAATCAATTAAGCTGAAAACAAACTATTGTCACCAAGAAGGCACATTATTTCTGGATTTTGGAGATGAGTGTGTGTGATTCCGAGAACCGTTCTTTACTTTCTAGCTTGCCAAACTCTGAGTGGCACTGTGAAAATACATTCTCATTACCTAAATATCCAATATAGTGTTTGCCATATTGTAGGGAATGGCTAGATTAATTGAGGTGTAAGTTTGCCAAAATGTGAAAGAATAAGTTAGATCTATTTGGACTTAATATGGATAGACTTCCAAAACATTTTCAAATAAAAGAAGCAAGCTGAAGTATGCCATTTACATGGAAACCTTTGAACATCAAGGAACATGATGCAATACTGTGTATTTTTGTGTGTACATATTTATGAGTGTGAAGTATATTGAGAGGTCTGAAAGAATATACATGCCAGACTAGTTTCTGAGAGTAGGAATTTTAAAGTGATTAGAGGGGAATTTTATCCTTACTTGCTTATACATATATGCCACATATGCCATACACACACACACACACACACACACACACACACACGCACGCACACACACACACACACATATATAGTTTGTACAGTTATTTACAAGTAAAAATAATAGAAAATACAAAATTATCTCAATTTTAAAATGGAAGCCTGGAGGTTGATTTGTGATAGGCCATTTGAGTGCACCCTAAAGTTCTAAATAATTTCATTTGGTTAAATTTCGGTACTTTTCTATCTCATACTAAGTACTAATTTTGGTACTAATCTCTCTCATACTAAGTTTTCACAATACCTAGCTGCTTGTATTTGCCTATACATACTATAGATTTCTATCTCTGGGCTTTAATCTACCTAATCTTCACCCTCCTCACCTGACTAGCTTAGAAGTAGCTTTTCCTAGGAATGCTTTCTTAGGCTTCACTTCTTTAAGTTGATAGTGCACTCCTACTGAAGACTTCTGATACTGTTTCAGGAAGCTTGGACTTGATCTTCTTGGAAAAGGGAGCTTTTGAAATGTTGTTGTTGTTTTTAATTTTTTTAAGCATGTATTCAGTTTTGAGAGTGTGAGAGACAGAGCGTGAGTGGGAGAGGGGCAGAGAGAGAGGGAGACACAGAATCTGAAGCAGGCTCCAGGCTCCGAGCTGTCAGCACAGAGCCCGACGCGGGGCTCAAGCTCACGGACTGTGAGATTATGACCTGAGCTGAAGTTGGACGCTTAACTGACTGAGCCAGCCAGGTGCCCCAGGCTTTGGAAGGTTTTTAAGTAAAAGAAAAACATAGTTTGGTTTGTACTCTGGTATCTTTGTGAATGGTGGTACCCCTTCCCTCCCCTCCCAACTATGGTTTGTAAAGAAAGGAGAATATAATCTTTTAGAGCTTTGTACCCTAGTTAGCATTGCTTTCTCTCTTATTTTTACTTGGATCATATGGAAAATTTAAGTCGGCTTGTTGTAGAACCAGTTCTTAAGTAATTTGAGAAATAAGGGACCATCTTATCTAAATTCTGGTGAGTCTATCCCCAAGTATTTTTACATAATTCACAAGAGTTACACAAGGAATTTCAAGAAAAACTAGGGAGACCTGTTTATTTGGGTTGGGTATTGTGATAAAAAGGAAATGATTGAAATAGCACCAATTACTCAGATGTTCAATGTTCCTATATTGAAGAAGTTAGAATCATGAGGGTATGGATGACTATGATGTTAATGAGCCCTTTGGCACCAGGATTTGCTGTGCTGGGCCATCTCTTTCCTTAGTATGGGTTTACTTATGCATGAAGTTGTGAGAAAGTCAAATTGGAACTCTCCGTATCATCTGAACAAGTAAACTGTGTATCTCAGCAGCCCAGGCTGTCACGGGATTTGGCCTTTCTGATAATGCCCTTTGCCTGGTCTGTCAGAAACTGAACTGCTCTTGATAGTTTTTATTATCAGCCAGAAGAATAGGGCACTATTAACCCAGCATTTTTTTTTTTTTTTTTTTACTAGTTAAAAGAGGTAGCATTGAACTAATGATAGAAATCAAAACATCTCTCTACCCAGGTTATGTTAACTAGTTCATTGTTAGATCTGATTCATGATAGATTCTAAATCATTACCTGAATGTTGTTTTCTACGACCTTAACGTTTCTACGACCTTAAATATTTTTACCTTCAACAGGACAAAATTGAAAATTCTTTAGAAATGTTTTCAATGTAGAGCTCTTCTTCACCTTTATCTTTTATTATCCTTCAGTATTCAAAAATTACATACAGAATGTTAAGAAATATTTACAATTTGGGGAGGGGAAAGAAAAGAAATCTTTACAATTCTGTATCAATTTTTTGTTACTTTGAGTTCATTGGAAACTATCCTTTCTTGGTTATCTCATTTCATTATGCAAAGACAATTCCAACTCATACCTGAAATTTTGCATGGTATTTATCATGCCTCCGAATAAGGCTTGGTGACCTCACCAAATAAAGTTAAGAATTAGAATGTTGCAGAGATCAAGATTTTCCCCCTTCTTAAGAATTTTACA